TGATTTTTTATTAATTTTTGAAGCTATAAAACGTAAAAAAAATTTAAAATTGTATTTTATAAAAGAATACGAATACACACTGAAAATTTGAATTTAATATAAAATCGAATATGAATAGTATTAATTATTTGAATAAAAAAAAGATATAAATAAAGATATCATTATTCAAATATCAATAAAATTTCATAATATTTGATTCATTCGTTTGGACTAGACATAGTAACGGCCATTAGTCCTTAAAATCTTATGCAACTATTAGCACTTAATTAATACGGTATCTTGTTTTAAATCGTTACCTTAAATACCTCATAATACTCAATTATACATAAGCTTATATATAAATATCCTCCCACGCACTAAACAAGTGTAGTAAAAGTGACTCATATTGGATTATACCTCAATATCAAATGGCAAATATCTTCATCAATGTCTTTTGCGTGCTTGTTTTTCTTGTAGTCTCCTCTCATGGTATGTATTCTAACTATATTTTAAAAAGTAATTTACAAAATTTTTAATGACTAAGGGTTTGTTCTCTTTACTTGATCAGATTGGTTCTGATCTGATTAGAATATGTTCTGATCTGATCTGAACGGATCTGATATGGATATAAATGTATTGTATATTTAAATTTGTTTGTGATCTGGTCTGATTCCAATAAAATTAATTAATAAATAATGAGAATAAATTGAAGATGACGGGCTCTAAAACCTCAATCTGAGAAGTGAATTAAAGTTTGTCTTAAATATTTAAATGGTTATTCAATATTTGTCATTTCTTGTCTCTTTGGATCCTTTCAGGTATAGGTGTGGTTCATCATCAATGCAATCCTTTTCTCTTGATTTCACAAGAGCTGACACGATTTCAAATTCAAGGTCTACCTGAATGGAATGTAACAGTAATAAATTTATGTGCATGTTTCCAAGAAAATGTTCAAATAACTTGTCCAGAAATTGGAAATTCTGTTCTTGCATTGGACCCTAAAATCATAGCTAAGTCTGGCAACGATATATGCACACTCATGGGGGGTCTCCCTATTCAACAACACTCGTCTGTTAGCTTCAAATATGCTTGGAAAAAGATCGATTTTCAGCCATATGATAGCACGGATGCTTGCTCAATTCAGTAATTAATTAATTAGATACGAAAAGACCACATTTCATTTCCAATTTATTATTTCTGATTGAATAATAATATTCATTTAATTTTGTGTTTTGCTCGTGTTCCACATTTATCATACGGAATAGTAGTGCCCCTCGGATGATGTTTGTGTTCATGTTTGATCAAAATGTTCAAGCATTATCTTCCCGTACGGGTGCATATAATGTTATTACGTACTCCCTCCGTCCGCCTAAGATGTTCTCATTTTGACTTTTGGTGGTTTTTAAGGAGAGTTGAAAAAAGGTGAAAGTTTACCATAATACCCTTAATGAAAAATAGGTGGAGTGTATTAAATGAGGTGGGTGAGGTGTAATAAATAAAATAAGTGGGGGTAGTTGTGGTATTTTACTTGTTAAAAAATGAAATGAGAAGATCTATTGTGGACAAAGAAAAATGGCTATTGGGAAGATCTATGGTGGACAGAGGGAGTATAAAAGTATGCATATTGTTTTTGTGGTAATGACTAATGGGAGACAATTACAAGTGACCATAGTATGCTTTACCTATAATCTCATGTAATTAGAGACCATTTATAATCACTTGTAATTAGAGACCATTACATGTGGTCTCTTTTATGTATTTACAGGGCCTTTAGAATTTATGTATTTACACGGCGTCTAAAATTTTAGGGTCTCACATTTTTAAATTCGGTATTAATTTTAAAGCATATGTCTTCTAAGAAATAAAATAGAGTCTAAAATATAAATTTTGGACCGGGTCAATTTTATTTTTTCATTTTTCGGGGCCGGCCTTAGATCGGAGTAAAAACAAAGTTAGGTGTTGGAAAACACTTGAAGGATCGGGGTTTGAAGAAACTGGAATGAGTATGAAAAAACAGGGAGAAGTTGAAAAAAGATGGAGAAAAAAATTAAGTATTGAAACAAATTCAAATGTGTTAGAATAATTATTTTATTTTATATATTTCATATTTTATTCAAATAATCTACTCTTATTTTTTAATAATCCATTTATATTTTATCTCAAATTATATTAGTAATTTTTGTGTGACTCGCACTCTAATTTTCTTTACATTTTTAAATTAATATCAATGATATAATTTTTTGTTATTTAATTTGTTTGTTACTAATGAATTTGAAAAAAATAAAGAAATGAATGAAGCTATACTTTTAATTAATCTTAGTTGAAAGAATAAGTGGGTTTAAATAATATATTGATGTCTTGGCAAAACACGTTCCCTGTTCTTTTTTAATTAGGAAAAGTTCACTCATCTAAATTTTACTTTCTCCGTACGAAAATGATATTCCCTATTCGAATGATGTGCAAAAATCCATGATTTTTAAAAATGGATGTATTTATAAATTGGTATAGAAATAAAAAAAAAATATATATATATATATTTAAAAAAGAAAAATTTTTATAAATGGTCTAATTATAAGTGATTTTCCATATTTAGTTCCCAATTCTTAAATATTCCATAAATAATCTTCAATTTTTAAAAGCAATTCCATAATCGATCCCTTACAGCTATTGGTGGAAAAATATTTAGTCATGTTTGGTCCACATAACTAATTATGAAATAATTTTTAAACATTGAAAACCATTTATATGGAATATTTAAGAACGGAGACTATATATTCAAAACTGCATGTAATTAGGAACCACTTAATTATGAAATTTACTCTTGTTGAAATTTTTTGATAAATTGGACATTTTCAAACATAAATTTGGTAGGGTCCACAAAATTATTTTCCGAAATAATTATGGACGTTTAATCTCGTAAGCAAAACGAATGTCTTGACATATTACACGCCATAAACAGTGCTCGGGTGAATAAGAAATTAATTCTCAAAGTTGAATATGAGGGAAGAGTAAAAACTCTTGTCCCACACCAGTTTTTGAACCTTTCGTATTCTCATATTTAAGCTTAGGCATTTAATTGAACTTATGAAAGAACAAGAATAAACGACGCGCGCGGGTCAGGTCGGGTCGGGTCCAGTCCAGTGAAGAGCCAACTCCCTTCCTATAAAAGGAGGGCTTGGGGCTGTAGAGTAGAGACACTCAGAAAAGAAATCATTCTGCGTTACTGAAAGCTTTCCGACTAATCCCCTTTCCGATCATCTTCTCCGGTGATAACTGTACTTCCCGTCGTTCTCGTTCGCCGGTGCTTTCTTCTACTGCTCTAGACCTAGCACGCTGCGGTTTTATCCTGGGAGGAGATTGCACACGTTTGCTAGTATGGGAGGCAGGCAATACTACCTTAAGGAAAGCTCCGGCGACTCCGCTTTCCTTGCCTCTGTTCAAGAACCTTCTCCGGCGACACCCTACCACCCGACGTCTCTGTCCGTTCGTGCTCTTCCTGGTGTCCGCTCCCGTTCGTGCTTCCCGAAGTTCAATTTTTCTTATTTTTATTTTAATTGTAAAACTCGAACGGTTTATAAGTTCAGATTATCTTTGATTTTATTTTTCCCGCTATAATACTCAACAACTCTTTATAAAAATACATCAAAAATTTTGCAAAATAAGAAGTGACACATCTTTCCACTTATAAAATGGTTGAAACATGTAAACAAACAAAAATTTTTGAGAAATCGTAATAGTACAGAGGTAAATGAGAGTAAACATAGTTTATGGTCAAAATTTTAAAATGTTGACTATTATACATTTTAAAGAAACAAAGTTAGCGAAAATTTCATAATCACAAAGAGAACTATAAATTAATAAATTTAAGATTAATAATAATTTATATTAACTCTATAATGGTATCTTAAATTTATATTGAGGAGAATTTTTTTAAATAAATTTTGACATTGAATGATTTTTTTATTTTATCAAGATGATGTTGATAATAATAATATTATTAACAAAAACAACAACAATAATATACTCTATTCATCCAAAAATTATCTTCCCGCTGCGCATTACGATGTTTAACTGAAGTTGTTTTCAAATCATTTTATATGAAAAATGATACAGAATTAAAAATAAAAATTACATATTTAAAAATTACATTTAAAGATCTACAAACTAGAGGTGACATGACTATATTATTTTATCAAATAGGAAACAAAAATAAGACAACAAGATGAATAAACTTTGACTGTGAAGTGTGAACAATGAACGGGGAGATAATTTTTAAACGGAGAGGGTATAAAAATATACCTAAATAATCTTGTTAAGTCTTTTTCGATGTAAAATTGTTAATGTATTTCTTGATGCCATTCTTAGACCCAAATGTCCGGTGGGCGGCCAGCCCATCTTAATAGTCATATATGAATATAGCTTTCAGCCCATTAGATTCGGGCCCGATTCGGATCCAAGTGTCAAAGTTGATCCGACTTACTTTTGACTCGAATCCGAGTTAAAAATACTAAGCTTTGAAATATGATTTTGTTAACCGAACTCGAAGATGATCGATCTCAAATGACTTGCTAAAAAGCAGTCAATTCCGATTTGACTGACCCACTAACTTAAGAGATTTTCAAAATCATGTACTAATTTGAAAAACAATGCATTAAAAAATAAAGTTATGTTTTTATATATTTTTTATTACTCATTTTTAGTGTGTAAACTGTAAACAAACATTTTAAAACAAGTGTGCAATGATATCACATAATTGTCTTATATTTTTTTGAGCAATGGTGCATATTTTGTTTTTTTAATATTATTCATAGTATTTTTGAATATATCTAAAAAGTAATTAAAAATAAAAATAAAATAATCTAAAAGGTCTACTATCCTAGCGCTCGTTCGGCAACCAGTTTAACATTTAACGTTTAGCATTTGGAAAATGTCATCAAACACCAACATTTAAAATCAACATTTTCAAAGCTAATTTGTACCAATAAAAAATAACACTAATTAAAAACAATATTGCCAAACAACCCCTTAATCTAACTCAGTACGAATAAATGAAACCTAAAACTGAATAATTGTCCATCTCACAATTCAATAATCACTTCACTTCTCAGCTTGTTCCCCATCTGTTTTAATACAAATTAAACCAGCACATACAAAAAAAAAAAACTAAAGAAGCTTCAACACCAAGAAAAATGGCTCACACACAAATGATCTATCAGTTTTCATTCATCATCAGAACTCTCATATGCTGCTAACAAACTCGAAACAGGATTATCGACCTTCGCTTTGTTCAATCCTTCTTCATTCAATTTAGCCAATGGCTTTTTACGAGATTCTGAATCAAGCTTGCTAGGAGAACCACAAGTAGTCAAAGGTTTGGAGGGCAGACTCCCCTGTTCTGGTGGGGAGGAGACTCTATGCCGTTTCGGTTTGACCTCTACCACCCTTTTAAGTAAATCTTGCTGCCTAAAGACCAAGAAAATTTATCCCACATTAGTGCATGTCCATGCCATAGGGTACCCTTAAAATTGGGGAAATAACTCATAAAATCAGAAGCGAAAGAGAATGTATGAAAGAAAAGGGGCATTCATTCATACCTGATCCCACTTTTTGCCTTTGGCTCAACTCGAAGTGGAAGGGGTAGTGTAGCAGGTGAAGTATTGGCTACAGCTTGGTGTATAGTCATCAAGGATAACGTGAAATTTGAAAACTAAGACACCCACACTTGTGTGCCAGCATAACAACAGCAAAAACCCCTGAATAATCCCAGAGTTACTTGGGGTCTGGGGACAAGATATAAACAACCTTACCCTTTTACAAAAATTAAAAAGGTGAGGTGTTTACTGTTTAACCCTTGATGCACTCACTATCCAAAACTTCATACAAAGTAAGAAGCATTGGAAGTTAAATGTGTGTCATTTTGATCTAGTTCATTATTTACCCTAAGCAAAAACACTGCAAAAAATGACAATTTCTGTCTCCATTGCAAAAATATGACTCTTTTCACCTTCCCCGCCTATAGGAAAAATCTGATTCCACCAAATCACCGATTCATTGCTTTTGTGGGTTGTGAATCAACAAGATGGTTGAAGACTCTCACAAATGATCTTTAAATTACATTTTACATCAATTTACAGTTAAAACTACAATGTTGGAAAATCACTGCAATGGCATGAACTAGATGAGATAAATTTAGCAGCCATGACTCTATGCTAAGGATGCACCACATCTACATGTTTTTACTCTCCCTATATCATACAGAGAATATTATCCAAGACCCCCTCTTACGTAAGCCATTTAGAAACAAATAGAACTCGAAACATCACATAAAAGGAAGATTTGGAATGATATTTTCTTTTGTATGTTTCAGAGAGGATTTTTTGTAGTTCATTAGTATACAAGCTGTACGAGAATGGAGAGGCTGAGTAGGAGATGATAGAAACACATGATAGGTAGGACAAGGGCAAAGCAAAATGGTACCTTCCACACATAGCCACACAAAACATATGTCCTAGATAATTTATCCAAAAAAGAAGAATTAGGATATCTTAAAAGCTGCAAAAGCACGTTTCTCAGTGCGTCTCAAGAGACGTTCTGCATCCTCCTCAGCTTCCATCTGCTCCTTGAGATAAAGCAAGTCATCACTGTCCAAGGCTGCACATTTCAACTTAAATTCACTCAAGGAACAGTAACTGAACAATATTGTAATGTTGATCTTTTGCCCACGTGTGTCCCAGAAAAGGTGATGGAGAAAAGGGTGAGGGGAGAGTATAAACACACAAAACAGAAGTTAGGAGTGAGAATCAATACCGCCTCGTCCATGAAGATAGCCTCCACGTTCTCCAGCTACCTCTTGCATCTGAACATCAAGTGCCAAATAGGAGAAGCCAAGATCCCTGCCCGGGCATGTTATCAGAATGCTTCTCCATTTAAAGGTGACATCAATGTTTTAAGACCAGGACTACACGGAAGGTTGGACCAGGACCCATCAATCAGAATACCAGATTTCACCCAGAACTTGGGAGGCTGTTCTCTTATGTCTCACTTGTCAACTAGTATCTCACCCGTGCGTTGCACGGTTCATATTTACGTTAATTATATTAACATGATATTTGAAATATACAAATTGATATATAATGAAATATAGAGATTTTATTATTCTTAAGGCACAATATATTATTGGTTTACAAATTTTAAAATAGGCAATTCATGATTATTAGAATACATTATATAATTTTTTTTAGAAAAAAAGAGGCAATTATTCAGGTAATTATTTTTTAATCAAATAAAAATTCATGATTGTTAGAATATAAATTTTCACATACTTGTGGTCCTCCAATGTGCCTATTTTACCACACAGGTTTTCGGTGAGTTTCGACTAACAATTTTTCTAATTACATTTGCAAGTACCGACATAAAAGACAGGGGTATTATATATACATTATAAATATGAGTAAGAAAATTAAATAATAATAATAATAATAATAATAATAATAATAATCTAAGTGGGACTTATCAATTAACAATATATTGTTACCAAAAGTCAATATGTGATTTTTTTCAAATCCCATAAATTTGTAATAAAAATTTGAGAATCCGTTTCGCAAAATCTCTCGAAGTTTCGTCCTGCCAAAGAATTGAAAAATGAAAGGGTAGTTGGTAGTTTTCATTGTTTGGTAATTGAGTTATACTTTGACTCTCATCCGTAAATAAACACTATCTACTTTCAATTTATCTTTGAAAATGCGTTTATTCGAATATCTGATCTACGCATATATTTGATCTCCCTGACAGTACAAATGAAAAAAGTACATATTAGCATCATTACAAAGTTGTGAATGTATACATATTTTAGATTAATTTTAATGAAATAATTAACAGAATCATGAAAAAGTATCTCCAAGGATTCGGGTAACATGGACTGGGACATGATAAACTCTTATCACTCTTAATTAATTCTTACCAATATGTATGAAAAGAATTATTTCTTGGTTGATTTTGGAATTTTTTATTTTTATTTTCGTATTTAGATTAGAAATAATAATCATCCTAGAATTTTTATAAAAATGGTAGCTTAGATATACGCTATATATTTNTATATATATATATATATATATATATATATATATATATATATATATATATATATATATATATATATATATATATATATATATATATATATATATATAGCCATATATCTTTAAAAATGATGTTTAAGACACAAACATGACAACAACAAATATGACCTAATATAAAAGAATAGGGCACGATTTCGTTGATACGGGCCAAAAACACTCCCTAAACCCACAGCCCAAACCCACCCTAAACCCCCTCCAAATGTGTGGATATGATGCGAACAGAGCACCGGAGAAACTCCAAAAACACAGTGGCACCGTTAGCCAGTGTCAATGTAACCGTACCTAAAAGGATACTAAAGTGAAACAAGTTATCTTAATTAAAGATATTTTAGTAAATTTTCATCTTTTTTTCAACTCTCTTAAAATATCAACTTGGAAAAACCTATAGTGGATGAAGAGAGTACCTTTTTTTAATGAAGCTCACAAACAAGAAGTTTGTGAAGTTTTTGATAAAGTATATTCTGTTTTGAGACTAACATTTCTTGTATTGTAACTGCAAATACAAGAAAAGCCAAGCCAGAGTCTTAGTACAAGCATCCACATATACACGGTGTACATGGCAGAATAAATATTAGAAAATGACCATTCAATAAGTCAAAACAAAAACAAAAAAAAAAGAAAGCGAAAACCTTATTCCAGTATGATGTGTCCCTAATAACTGAAAATCTATGCCTCTTTATAATTATTTTTATTTTTTAATTTATTTTCTCTTTTTTTTTTCTTTGGAACATAGGCTGTGAACCAGCAGACTATGAGCAGTCTTCTTTAGGTCCTCCTCCCCGCACCTCCACCCTTCCCTCTCAAGAGAACTTCGAGATCAGCTTATCAACGTGAATGATGATGTCATCGATTCGGGGACGAACAGTTGCTTGAGGCTGAAGCATCCATTTCACAAACTGGTGAAGGGCGTCGGGATATTTTGGATCCGAAGGCCCGTTGGGCCACTTCACCTGAACATTAACAATGGCCAACTGTAGACTTCCTCCAGATTCCCCAAGTGCATACTCAAAAGGAGACACTCCATACCTGCATAGTTTACATATATACATATAGATATATGAACCGCAAAGTGAAGTTACAACTCATTAATTTATTGGTTCTAATACTCCATCTGTCGTGTAAAAACGTTCCACATTTCCTATTGATAAGTCCAAAATAAGTCTTCACTTCCTTATTACACTGTGTTTGGTTCACGGATTTTGAAAATGAAAAGAAAAGAAAATGAGATAGAAAACATTTTTTCTTGTTTGGTTAGAAAGGTAAAGAAACGAAAAGTGGAAAGAAAAACAATGAAAAGGCAAAATATACCAAGAGGGAAACCAAAACTCCTCCCATTTTGGGGAGGAAAATGAGAGAAAGCAATTTTCTTTTATTTTCCTTCCAAAATTCTTGAACCAAACATAGTGTTAAGGATAGAAGAACTGCATTGTTTTTTTTCTGTTCAGTATAAATGTCAACCACACAGTTTTACTTTTTCTTATTAACCTTGTTGAGCCAATTGTGAAATCTTATTGCAGGACAGGAGTATGCTAAATGGATAGGTTTCTGAACCAGACCACAGATTGTCATTTCTAATTCAGTAATTCCTTATCACTTGACATGAAAAACCACATATGAATAAAAGAATTTGAAGCGAAAGCATTGAGTGATGATTATTTCTGTCTTCTGAGACTTGTGCCTAGCACTAACTTAAAGTTGAACCTTTGTGCAATAAGACTATTTATGTGGGGCGGGGAGGGGTGGGGGTGGAGTATAAACCTATACACTTTGTAAAACTCTGAGGCAAAGAAATATGCCATTCACAAATGATAGAAACCATAATTAAGAAGCCAAATACAGAGGCAGCAAAGCTTACATTATTGCATATAGGGTACAACCCAATGACCAGACATCAGTTCTTTCATCAATATCAGCATGGCTTGGGCAATCCCATAGTTCAGGAGCTCGGTAAGGTGCCGAGACATGTTCTGATGCCCATTCCTATAAAAAAACCAATGCCCGCAAAACAAATTAAGGGGTCCAGTAAATCAAAGATGCCAGACTGACCAATGGAATGACGTGATGACAATGAACAACCTTGAAAATAATGCTCTATATTAAGGCACCAACACTTACTCCATTGCTAATGGAGCTAAAAAAAAGTCCCTTACAATGCTTTGAATAAATAATAGACTTGATTATAATGGCAGACTAAACTTCCCTTGCTTCTTACTTTTGATGAAGTTTTGGGTAGTGATTCTAGTGAATGCATCAAAGGGTCTAATGGAAACAACCTTTGCATTAAATACATGGGTAAGATTGCATAATCTTGACTCCCTAGACCCCAAAGGAGTTGGGATTATACTGGTTTTGTTATTGTGGTTGCATTCAAGCATCAACTCTATAGTCAGTAGATGTAGAATTGCGAAGTATGCAGGCTTGGGAAAAAATAGATGTACCTGCAGCTGTAAAGCCTCTGAACGAGACCTTATTTGCTTCCTTGCAGGACGAGCACTTCCAAAATCCATCAATATTGCAAGCGGTGGCTGCCCTTTTCTATGTGTCAAAAGGACATTGCCAGGTTTTACATCATTATGGGCATATGATGGTTCAAAATTATGCATATGCTTGAGTCCTGCACAAAGCTGCATTCAAACTATTTCTTTCATGAGGCAGATAAGACGATATACCGGCTTAATTCCCCCAGATTTTGTAATAATAAATAATCACTTCATAACAAATATAATTAATGGTGAGAAATAATGACTTTGGTCCCTCAGCTATTGTGTTGATCTTAAACTCAATCCTT